TCTCTCTCTGTGTGTGTGTGTGTGTGTGTGTGTAACCCTTCAGTGTATGCAGTGTGCAATGTTGTTCAGCAGCAGCTTGTTTGTTTAAAACAAAGTGGAGGAGGGAACATGTGGAGGATTACGTATTTCCTATCCAGAGTTTAAAAGGTCTGTTAGCTGCTCTTCTGTACAAAGATCACTGTATAATAAAGCAATAAGAATAGTGCATTTTTTAAAAATCCGGACATACTGTACTCAAAATCTGTGACAGAACCAAATATTGACATCAGATTATTAGCGAGCAGAAGAACCATAAAGCACCAGTCAAAATTTGCTATTCAGGTGTGGGGCTGGCAGAGAGCTTTGCGGATTCCCTGGACTGCCAGAAACACAAACAAATGGGTTCTAGATCAAATCAAGCCTGAATTATCTCTGGAGGCAAAAATGTTGAAACTGAGACTGTCCTACTTTGGGCTTATCATGAGAAGGAGGGACTCTCTGGAAAAGACAGATAATGGTGGGAGCTGGGAGATGCCTTCTGTTGATGAATGCCATCACACTGGCAGCCTTGTGAGGTAGCCAGAGTGGCTCTTCAGAACTGCCAAATGCAAACTTGCCTTTGGTTATCTGTGTATGCTTTCTTGTTCTGCTTGAAATCTCGAAAGCAAAGATGTGTGGCCATCTGAGTGTGCTGGTCTTGATCAGTCGTGTTCCAACTGTAGTCCAAGAGTGTCTGCAAGGCTATGGATTCTTCATTCTGCTCTACAAGGAGTACTAGAAAGAACAGTTTGATTTTCTGATATACCCCTGAATAATTATTTAGATCCTAGCCTTCCACTTAAAAAATGAAGCTTATGGTGGGAGGATATGCCAGTCTTTCATTGAACTGAATCATATCCATTTGTATTTGCCAGCCTTCATGCCATTAAGGATGAGATGTTTCTCAGGCAATCCTTGCGTCATTCAGCAAAATTTAGACGGTCATCACTAGCTGAGAGGGTATGTACAGAGACATCATGGTTTAATGTGTTCTCAAAGGCTTTCATGGCTGGGATCTGATGGCTGTTGTGGGTTTTTCACAGCCAAAGAGCCCGAAAAACCCACAACAACCATCAAGTCATGGTTTGTTAGGTACTTTAAGCTAGGTTGCTGTGGGAACTTTTGCAAAGCTAAAGGCCAGGGAGATTATCTAGCTACCAGATAGGAGAAACCTCTGCATCCGCTCCGGTGCCAGTTTTTAAGCACCAATGACTCCTAGGCACCTGGAATTTAGCTCTGCAGGCTTTAATGCTCTGTTTTTTGATCTGCTGCAGACACAACATTGGAAAGCCAGGGCTGAATTTTGTGATTTGCTTTTTTGCATTAAGGTTTTTTTGTTTTTGTTTTTTGCTATAAATACTGTACATTATATATTGCATAGCTACATCAAGGTTCATTGCAAACTGCTCGCTCTCTCTTTGCAAGGTTCGCTTTACCTGTGCAAATAAGGAGACAACCTCAAGTCTGCATCTTTTATCTTCTCCTCCACAGAAGGACATTATCCTACATCAGAAGTGTGGAACATTTCTTCTGCTAGATGTTTTGACTTGCAGCTCTCATCAGTTCTACTCAACATACCCCATGGTTCCAAGTATTACACCCACCCACATTGCAATTCCTAGTTTTAACCTTACATATGATCCTGAATAGGGCTTTTGTCTCTCTTGGTTAAGAAAGATATAGCTATCTTTTGGGGACTTCAGACTAGCAGACAAAGATGGAACTACACACTCCAGTAAGATTTCCCTTAACTAAAATTAAGTAAGCCATTCCAAGGATAAATATTCCCAAGAGGTACACACCCAGAGTCTTCTTATCTTTCAGGTGTTTGGGTTTTATAGTGCTGGAGCTATGGTGGCAAGATGGACACATACACAAGGACACAGATTCCTTTTTTATTGTTATGACATCTTCAGTCATCTATGATATGGAAAGATGAAACTTCATAAACAACAAAAGTCCTTAACCTATGTTCTGTGTTTTATTTCCTTCCAGACGAATACTCTTCTACGTACCCAGAATCCTGCACGCAGAAAGGATTCATTTCTGACTGGTTTATATATGCAATATCCACCTCTGGTATACAGTTCATTATTTGGAGTGTGTGTGTATGTGTGTGTGCATAGAGTCAGTGTTTCTCTCCCTACACTGACTCCAAACAAACCCTGGCCTTCTCAAAGGTGACAATGTTTTGAAAATACAGCCCCCAATTCAGAAAGCAGGGCTAAACTGGGGCATGCCTTTTAAAGATGGTTTTGTTTTGTTGCTGTTTGGGGCACACCCATCCCCTAGTTTTTGTGCTGTTTTTGTGGAATAGTGGTCACAACTGACCGTTCATAGAAGGCTATACGGGGGAGCATGACTTGGCAAGAGATCAGCTTATTTATTTGTTTGCAACCTTTGTACCCTGCTTTTCTTCCAGTGAGCTCAAGATAGCAAGCAGGACACTCTGCCTCCCTACTTTGTAAGCCCATCTCAGAACTTGGAGAAGTTGATTTTTTTAAAAAAAATTAAAACTCCCAGATTTCCCAGCCAACAGAGTTACTAGATGAGGAGTTTGGGATGTTTAAGGCTGAAAAACTAACTTTTCCAAGCTGTCCTCAGGTTGGAAGACAACAACTGGCCCAGGGTCACCCAGGGAGTTTTATGGGTCATGAGGCACAACGTACAACTTGCATCTGCCAAATGATTTCACTGAGTGCTTCCTTACTTTCACCTCCATAATCCAAACAAGAAACCAGGGTTTGTGCTGAGTATCTTCTGCATATAAATTGGTGCTGTATCAACAAGCTATGGACTAAAGCAGGAGTTGGCAACTTTGATCCCTCTTTTTTGGCCCACAACTCTTGTCATTGATAACCAACATAGTCAATAGCTTGTGGGAGCTGTAGTCCAAGAAAGTATTTGCAAAGTGACAGTTGCCTACCCTTAGACTAATTCAGGCCAGGGGAAGCCAACATTAAACCATAGGAACTTGTACGGAGTCAGGGTGGAATCAGATGATCGGCCTGATTGCAACAGAAAGGGTTGCTTTAATGGGAGTAATCTCCCCTTTCCATCTGGCAGAGATGGCCCAGAAGAGTAGAAGTCCTGCTTGGGAATGGATTGGGGTCAGACTGGAGCACATTTACCCATCTACGTTGTGATCTATTTCCCCCTGTGATCACAACCCCAGACTATTTATTTAGTCCTGCATTCGGTGGTCAGGTGGTACATTGCAAAGCGAAGGCACTCAGCACGGGCGTCCTCAAGAGGAGTAGCTCACAAGGATGTCTTGTTTCTGAAACAATCTACTGTCGCCACCCCAGCTGCTGTGAAGATTGCAGCTGGGTTCAGCCAAAGAACTGGGAAGCCAGGGGTGGCACGGATTCTGTCATCCAGCTGGCCAATCAAAAATCCCAATCCTTCCATCCTGTAAGCTCTGGCTCTATAAAAATATGACCGGTATTGTTTATGCTATGTGACTGCAATTCTTCCAAGAATTTAGACGGAGGACTTACCCTTTACCAGGAATTGAGCCTGGGAGCATCTTTGGGCCATTTTTGTAGTCCATTCAGCACATCTGGAGAAGGCCACTTAGTTCAGATATGTTGCTTTACAATAGCTGTTCACAAATGTGAAATTTAGTTGGGAAGGGTTTTTTCCCCCTATGTGAGTTCTCTCTGCTGGCCTGTTGAAAGTATTTAAGGTTACAACAATATTTTATTAGGCAAAATCCAGAGAAACAAAACAAGACAAAAAGACAAAGACAACATAGACTAACATACTGTAATATGAGCTTTCATGGACAAGTCTACTTCATCAAACACTTGCACAGATTAACACCAATACCTCTTCTAAGAAATATTTTAGTTTGCATGTGTAAAAGATGATGTTCCTATTCTTCATCATTCCTACCATTTCCAGTGCCTAAGATGCCATCTTGATCCTAAGTGTATATAGATGCAATGTCATTACAATTTTCTGACCCTTAGTAGTGGAACAGCTTTTGAGTGACTTTCATATTTCATATTCAGCCAGGGATAGGGTCCCAGGGAGGCCCAGCGGCAAATGAAAAAGGGCATGATGATGATAAAATTCCACTTACGATTGAAATTCCCAGTGCATATGAAGGTGGTAAGTATGAGATTAAATTTTATATACTTGGTTCCTATCATTGAACAGTATTGTTTAATGTTTCTCTGGCTAACAAATAGCATCGTAGATGCTTAACTTTAAAAAAAGGGTGTCCAAACTGTGTTATTTCCAGTTTTGAAGCAGAAAAGCTTGACTTAAATAATTTTCATTTTTATTTAAATATTTAAAGATATATCTTACAATTCCACAAAGAGGACACAAATATAAAAAACAGACATTGTAACCATCCCAGCACATATAAAAAATTAAAACAATTAAGGTTGCGATCCCATTTGGGTTTACCTGAGTGCTTCTGTCTGGGTGTGTTTCTGAGTAGACATGGTTGCACAATAGTAACCGAACATGCTGGGATATTATTTCAAGAATAGCAAAACAAGGCAAGAAGATAAAAAGTCAGAATCATAAAATAGACTCAAAGGACTAAGGCAGTTCTCAATGATTAGTGGGCTAGACCAAAACACCAATGTTTTAAATGGTCTTCAGATTAGTTCCTGCATATTGTGGGGGAAAAAAGCTTGGCCTGGGCCATCCCACAATATGTTGCTGCCTGAGGCAAAGGTCAAGCTGACATCCTCTGCAGCAGTGGTCCCCAACCTTGGGCCTCCAGTTGTTCTTGGACTACAACTACCAGAAACCTTAAAAAAAAAAGGCTTGGCTTTGGCCATCCCACGATATGTTGCTGCCTGAGGCAAGGGTCAAGCTGACATCCTCTACACAGAACCAAGATGAATTAGCAGTTCAACTTTACTTCAACACTGGAATGGTGAGGTGAGACGGTGTTCCAATCTATCTAAGTGCCATACAGGTGTTTGGCAATTCCAAGTACTGCCTCCTCTGGCAGGCACCCACTTACATGTAGCACCTGGAGGAGGCAGGGCAGGGAAGCTGGGGCACTGCCTTTGAGCTGGAGGAGGCGGGGCTTGGGAGCATCAAACACCTGTTCAGCCATTAAACGAACCAGCACAAACCACCAAACCAATAGTTCATGCCTGTTACTACTCCGGAAAAACGGTTTCCATTATTTCCCCCATAACCTGTTGTCTCCATTGGTTGTCTTATTCTGCCTAATAAGAGGGCTAGCTTTCACTGAAGCCCACACAATCTGTGAATCACCAGGAGCTTGCTAGACCTCATGTTTTTTGCTACCTACCTGAGACTATAGCAAGGAGGTGGATTCCTGAGCATACTAGGCTGTATTCAGCTTTGTGGGTCATGAGCATATTTTCTTGGAATCAAATTGCTTTAAGAAAATACAGTAGAAAGGTGCTGTATTGCACTGTTTACTTGGATCGGGAGTGATTCTCTAGAGCAGTGGTCCCCAACCTTGGGCCTCCAGATGTTCTTGGACTACAACTCCCAGAAGCCTTCACCACCACCTCTGCTGGCCAGGATTTCTGGGAGTTGAAGTCCAAGAATATCTGGAGGCCCAAGGTTGGAGGCCACTGCTCTAGAGGCCTCTCTAAAGACATAACTTGCATCATCTGTTACCTTTAAATTAGAGATGTTGATCCTAGCATCTTTTTAATGTGACATATATGTAATGCCACTCTCATGGGAGTAAGCCTTTGTGTTTGTGGCACTTACTCACAGGCAAATGTGCATAAGATAACAAATGCAGTAACTGCTTGGGTTTGTTTGTTACTTTCTAGGGGAGATGGGGTTTCCTTTATTGGGCCTTCATTATCTCTTATAAAGCAGAGATAAAATGTGATGGTAGAGAGAGTATTTAAGCCCCTTATTGTGTGATATATAAACTATGGGTTTCTTTTTATGTACTCAAGAAGACTTTTCTCACAGACTGGTAGGGGAACACTATTTGCTCTGTAATCTTGAGAGACAGTCCTAATGAACAAAAAAGACATGAATCTCTAAGATAAAACTGTAGAGGAACAGTGCCTCTTTGCGTGGCCTGTCAGAAAGAGAAAGCTCAAACAGACATATCTGATGCACAGAAGCAACTCCAGTTGTTCTGACAGATTACACTGTTTGTTTCTGTTTCAAATGTATTTGTCAGCCAAAGAGAAAGGGTTAAGAGGAAGGTCAACTTGAACAGACAGTTTCAGTAAAGGCCAGGACAAAGGAATTTTAATAAATTTAAAATCCATTCTCATTCATTGTTGTAAGTTCCTTGAAGTTTAATGTCAGCGTCTAAAATATTATTGTACACTTCACCAGTTGGTCTTTTCTTTAGTTGGTGGAATGCCTCTCTTTGGTTCCAACAGAAATAAACATTGTAGATCAAGGGAGAAAGTAAATACATGATCTAGCCACATTTGGGTGCCCAGTACTATGTTTTGGAGAGATACAACATAACAGGGTAGGACAAGCAATGCTGAGTTAGACCAAAGGTGTGTGTAGCCTAGTATTCACCAGAGCTATCAACCTGAGTGGAGTGGTAGGTAAGTGGTAGGAAATTGTGACTACTATCCCATTAGGAAAGGATCCATAGTCAGTGCAGGCAAGTTCAAATATTACCAAGCTGAGGTCTGCTGTATGTTCCATAGGAACTAAGTATGTGCTGTAAAAATCAACCAACGTCTACCTTCCTAGTCCTACCTGTAGTTCTGGTTCTTCATCATGCTGGTGTGTGACTGAATGCCAGCATTTATACTCTCAGTGAGTAATGGTATCTTTCAAATTCTACAAAATAGAACCACAACAAGATGAAGCCTCAGTTGAATCTCAAGCTACACTGAAGTACAAACATCATCTTCATCATCATATTTGGAAGGAAATAGTCTTAATGAGTAAAGTGGGAGACCAAAAAGATAGCCCAATGTGATGCTTGGTGAGCACAAATTGCTCTTATCTTGGGGGCAAGATCAGAAAACAAAGAAGAAAGGAGGAAATGGATGAAAATTGTTCTGGGAAATGACACTACAGGCTTGCCGGAACTCAGAAGAACAAATAATTTTGACACTTTTTATTATTCCTTTTTATCCACACAGATCAAATGGATTCTGTATTTTAGACCTCAATTTATGTTAGGATCATTCTTTGACTGATACATAAGAAATGACATGCTATATACGAGAGAATAAGTGATGGACAGCTACTTTTTTTGTTTTAACCATAGTAATCATAAAAAAACACAACAGTGATGACAGCATGTTAAGAAATAGTCAATCTGCCTTAAGCTCTGAAAGCTTCCATTCACATACTTCAGTTATTCTTCCTTGTAAGAGTTTGGCCAGAATACAACAACTAACTCAAGCCACTAATAGCCTCTAATAATGAAAAAGTAATTATTCCAAGCTCCATAAGGATGATTGCATAAGGAGTTTGGGAAAGTTACCATTTTGGATTATAACAGTGAGACTCACCCAGACTCTCCCAGCCAAAAAG